ATTAAAGGAAACGTTTCGCCACGAGTGGCTTCTTCAGTCCTAATACAGAGAAAACTAAGAAAACACATATATAGTGGCGGGAGTCAGGTGAGGTGATGCGTGGGTAGAGGTGGTAGTAGTAGTAGTACTACTACTACTACTACTACTACTACTACTACTACTACTACTACTACTACTACCACCTCTACCCACGCATCACCTCACCTGACTCCCGCCACTATATATATGTGTGTTTTCTTAGTTTTCTCTGTATTAGGACTGAAGAAGCCACTCGTGGCGAAACGTTTCCTTTAATAAATGTCCTGAACTGTACATAAGTGTCTTTTTCCACATCTTGTCGGTATCACCATACCATTTCCTTACAGCTGCCACCTCTATCCACGCGACACTTCACCTGCCACTATATATATACGCGTTTTCTTAATTTTTTCTGTATTAAGACTGAATAAGTCACTCGTGGCGAAACGTAGGACACCTGTGCAACACAGGTATGTAACACAGCATGTTGAAAATGGTATAAAATATCGACAAGTTGAAGATTAACCCTTTGAGGGTCGACAGGCCCTCTCCGAAACTCGTTCTCAGGGTCGGCCAAATTTAAAAAAAAAAAAAAATTATTTTCTCTTATGAAAAGATAGAGAATCTTTTCCCGATCATAACGACACCAAAAGTTTGAAATTTGATAGAAAACTTACGGAATTATGCTCTCAGCAAAGTTAGCGGTCTCGGCGATGTTTACGGATCGGCGATTTTGCCCACTTTGAGCCCCATTTTCGGCCAATTTCTCTGTACTAGTCGACAAAAAACATAAATATTTCGCTAGAACTCCATTTTTTCTATCGAATGGGTGCAAGAAACCACCCATTTATAAATTCAACTATCCAGTACAGTGGTCAGAATTTAGCAATTTTGCCAATTTCACACAAATTTCAAAAGATGCCAATTTCGAAATAGGGTCCAAATAAACAAAAAGACATTCCTGGCACTAAAATGACATTTTCCTCTAGTCATTAGTCACGTCTCAAGGCCCCTCTTATATTCTTTTGCTTTCCACTTTGAATTTTTATTCTCACAAAAAATATAAGATTTACTGTTAAGCAGACTACAGCATTAGTGTAAAAAATGGTATAAATATTATTGGTGCACTTGTGAAAGAATATTAGACTCACCAGTTGACGTGTATTGCACGCTTGGCACGATTTGTTTACTTTTGAAGTTTGGGTTTAAAAATCGAACTTTCTGCTACTTTGAGCTCAATTTCAAGGCACCTTTCATTGTAAAACCAGTCAAAATCATCTCAATTCCAGTAATATGTCTTCCATTCTATAAAATGAGACCAAGAAAACTAGAATACAACAATAAATACTATACGAAAATACACTGCAAAGTCGCTGATTTATTAAAAAAAAATGGAAAAAGTTTTTTTTTTCTCATTATGCACCGTGTGCTGCAGGATTTTTTTTAGACTGTGCACACTGACCACATAGACCCATTCTTTCATATGAAGGCCTACCAGCTTTCTCCCACTAGATTTGAGGTCGCTAGAATTTATGAGTACTAGTACGTCAAAAACCCCTACGCGTAAGACGTACTAGTACGACGAAAACCCTCAAAGGGTTAAGATATGTGGAACATGATTCCACTGGGGAATCCCGCCTACCAGTGACTATGCCTTCGTCTGCTACACGTCCTTATCCACTGACGCCTATATAACCGCCAGACTTCTTGCCTTTGCTCCAGATTCTCCTCCACCACGATGCTGTGAACACTAACTCCAAGGCTGAGGGACTGATTACCTCATCTTTTGTATATAGTTCTACTGTCTTTAATTGTGTCCTAGAATTTGTATTGATAAAGCCACTGGATGGCGAAACTTCTACAATAAGGATAGATGTTGCACATGTGTCTTAACTTTCATAACTTGGTTGTCTTGAGGGTAGTCTGCATCATGTATAGAATTAAACAAGTGATGTCATCACTCATCTGCTCATCTCTGGAGAGTCGACATCTGGGGCTTCCCCCGGAATCTGTTAAGCAACACCGCTCGCCCCTCCTGAGTGAACATATCGCCATAGAGTGTAGATAAATGCTTCGGAGAACCGACAAGTTGATAAATTAGACACATGTGCAACACTTAGGTATCTTTATTATGGAAACGTTTCGCTACACAGTGGCTTCATCAGTCCTGTACATAAGACGTGGAAAAAGACACTTGTGTATTGTTCAGGACATTTATTAAAAGAAACGTTTCGCCACGAGTAGCTTCTTCAGTCCTAATACAGAGAAAACTAAGAAAATGCGTATATATATAGTGGCAGGAGTCAGGTGAAGTGTCGCGTGGGTAGAGATGGTGGTAGTCATAAGAACATAAGGAACACTGGCCCATGCAAGGCAGGACCAAGTCACTTACCGGCTTAAGCCAATGCCCTAACCTGATGAATAGTCTTGTTCCAGACTAAAGACCTCAATGGAAATAAGTCACTTTGTGTGGCTTTTCTAGGTTATTCTAGGTTGTAATAATGTTGGTAGAATTACCGACAATATGTAAAGTAAAAGGACACAAGTGCAACTAATGTAACATTTTATTGTGGCAACGTTTCGCTCTCCAGTAGCTTTATCAAGGCCTAAATGTTGCCTGTGTGTCTTATCTACAATCCTCTCTGAAGTCTTGGTATGTAATCTGAGGTCACCAAATCCATCCAGTTCTAACAGCATTATAGGCTAAAATAAGACTCGTGTTCCCTGGGACATTCACATTAGTATGTGTAGTAGTTAGCTCCGCACTTTTCCTACATCATGAGAGTATTTTTAGTTTGACATGTCAGCAGACACAAGGACATAAAACTTTTTATAAAAGTCCCAGGACCGAAACGTTTTATATTGTCCTAGCTTTTGTTCATGTGTTTCTTTAAAACCAATTTCTCGATATCAACTGTCAAGGTTTACAGAGTATTTTAATAAAGTTGGTAGACTTACCGACAATATGTAAAGTAAAAGGACACAAGTGCAACTAATGTGACATTTATTGTGGCAACGTTTCGCTCTCCAGGAGCTTTATCAAGCCATGGCTTGATAAAGCTCCTGGAGAGCGAAACGTTGCCACAATAAATGTCACATTAGGTGCACTTGTGTCCTTTTACTTTACAGAGTATTTTAAGACTGGGAGAGAACCGGAAAGAGTGGAAATGACACTTAAATAGCCGAGCCAGCAGGTTGAAGGGCATAAGACTGACAGTAAACATACAGGAATTGAGACACATGTGCAACAGTTGGGTATTTTATTGATGAAACGTTTCGCTTACACAGTAGACTTCAGTCAAATACAGGAGCAGCAGTAGTAATGAAATAAAGATGATGTGATCAGTCCATCAGTCTTGGAGAAAAAGTATTTGAGGTGGTCAGTCCCTCAGCTTAGAGAAGAGTTCAGCTCCATGGAGCTGACACTGCAGTCAGATAACACACACCCCTCCCCCCACCCACAACACGCTACCACCTGACCTAACCTGACCTCTGCTTTACCTGACCCCTCATAACTATACAAGTCCCAAGTAAGACGCATTTGTAACACCTATCACGGACCTGACTGACCACCTCAAAACTACTATTGTCTCCATCACTGTATTAGACTGAAGAAATCTGCTATGCTAGCGAAACATTTCGGCAATAAAGGTACCCAGGTGTTACACAAATCTTTAATCAACTTGGGCGGTATTGCATAATATAGCTAAGTCATACACCGTTTGTATACTTCTGTCCATATACTTGATGGCTGAATCTTATTGTAGCCAGCTGGCAGAGTGGTTAATGCACTGATCTGGAGTCAAACCCCACCCGTTCCGTGGGGTTTTTATTGTCCATATATTTGTTAGTTTGGCATCAGAAAACCAAGGGAGTGGATGGTTATCTTGGCCAAGGTCTTTATCAAGCCAGGATGACGCTAGTCTGGCATTTGACCGGATGTTTTCTTACTCTCAATGGTAGCGAGTTACAGGGTCTATACTGTAAACAAGAATTCAGATAACCTAGTTTCCTCCAACACTGTAGTAAGTATGGAGGTTCCTCTGTACCACTGTAGTATGGTGGAGACTGTCATTGGTACCACTGACCTGGTTGTTGGAAAACAGGCGCTCGAGGGCACAGCTAAAAGTTAAATACAGGGATGTAAGGAAGTATTTTTCTTAGTTTGAGTGGTCGATATGTGGAATGATCACAAAGTGGAAGCAGGCTCTGTACATAGATTCAAGAACTGGTACGATGGGACCCACGAGGCTAGGAAGTGAATCCTGACAGTTGAAACTAGGTACTCCCCCCCCATTACACACACACACACACACACACACACACACACACACACACACACACCACACACACACACACACACACACACACACACACACACACACGCGCGCGCTCTCTCTCCTCTTTTTTGGGACCTGTCTGTTACTCATTTTTGTTGTTGCTGGTTGAGATTCACTAGTGAGTCAGGTATTAGTGGTGCTGACTCACCTTAGTGGTCACCTGTCAGCAGTGCTGACGGGTAGTCATATTGTATTTTATTGCTGGCGAATTAGTTCTGAGTTGGGTCACCTTAATCCTGGTTAAATGGTTGTCACTGACTCGCCCTGTACGTGTTACCCTGCGGGAATATTGATGTTTGCATGGTCAAGGACGGGTTATAGCGTGCTCAGCTGCTATGGTTTACAGAGGTGATGGGGCCCCTTTTTATCAGTCACTCAGTCCCTCTCCCCACTCATTCTGTCATACACTCGCTGCCTCTCACTTGTGAGGCTGCATCTTAACTTGTGTGTTTTACCCATATTAGTAGTCTGTTAATTTTTTGCTTTATTTTAATTGCTAAAAACGCCAAATGGCCACTAAGTCTAGTATTTTGTAAACACCACTAATAATACTACTGCTGCTATTACTGTTATTACTATTGTTACTGCCCTGTAACAAAGTACATAGGTCGGAATATTAAATGTATTTTATTTGGCTTACAGTTGTCCGCGGAAGAGGAGGAGCGGCGGTCGTTGCGTCGGGAGAGGAACAAACTGGCGGCCGCTCGCTGCCGCAAGAGACGACTGGATCAGACCAACATGCTGCAGGACGAGACTGACGAGTTGGAGGATAAGAAGTCTGAGCTGCAACAGGAGATTCAACTTCTGCAGCAGCAGCGAGATGAACTGGAGTTTCTGCTGGCCACACACAAGTCAGTGTGTCGCCGCCGTCAGCAGCAACAGCAAGTCGCTTCTGCCCCCGTCACCACAAATGCCACCACGACGACCACCACCAACTCAAACCTGCATCTCCGCATTTTGAAAACGGATATAACTGTAAAGGAGGAGCCTATGGATGATGACGAATTTGTCATTGTGAAGAAAACTAACGGCAGTAGCAACGAGTCCCGTCCCAGGCGACCCACAAGCCTTAATGTAGCACCTGTAGCACTTCGCACCCCAAGTGTCGCTGATCTGGGCGTCCCCATTGAGACTCCGTCTGCTGGACTTCGTGGGCTGAACTTTGAGTCTATGATGGAGGGAGGAACTGGACTGACGCCAGTGACCAGTGGTACTGGGCTGATCCCTCTACATACGGGCCTAACGCCGCTGACAACCCCAGTTGTGTCTGCTCCTGCAAGTTCAGCCACCTCCAACTGTGGCACTCAGCAGCGATCCTCCTCCTCTGACCTCTCCTCGCCAGACTCTGTGCCGCCCAAACTAGTGTCCCTCTGAATAGCAACGCCCATGCGCGCCCACGTAGTTACCAGTGGCGGGCAAGGTGGAATTATTGAGGCTCCGCCCCTCGGCTGACCTTTGATGGATGCTAGTCCCTATGTGCACATCCACGCCTTACTCAACCCACGCACTCTATGCAACTCTACTTCAAGCTAGAATCACACTCCCTCTTTCTTTGACTTGGCAAGCTACTCGCCAAGAAACTCTTACTACCATCCCCCTAAACTTGTTATAATATTCATAATATTGCCTAACAATGAATTAAGATAGCCTTTACGTTCTAATTTTGCCTTAGATATATGTAAATTGTTGATGCCTTTAAACTGCTGCCCCTCTCAGTGCAGTTTAAGCCTTTGATCCTCATGGCTTGCTAAGAGGCCTTTTGACCAAAATATACTAGACGTTACCACTGTGATGTGAATATGAACAGCTGGTAATTGTAATGGTTTAGCTCAGTACTGACAACGTCAGTGACAGCAGTTAAGCTGTTGCATGCAATATTGCTCGCATGTTGACCATTGTTGAATGCTCCTTCTAGTGTTTGAAAAATATTTAATTCGTGGTTACAGTAAGAGCAAGAAGCAACTTACGAATAATTTTGACATATTTGTAAAAAAAATATGAACTTGGGTTTGAACGTGTTGAGACTAGAGATACACCACACACACACACACACACACACACACACACACACCACAAACCCTACACACACACCATACACACACACACACACACACCCCACCACACACACACACCACACACACACACCCCACCCACACACCACACACCACACACCACACACCCCACACCCACACCACACACCACACCCACCACACACACACACACACACACACACACACTCACACACACACACTCACACACACACACACACACACACACACACACACACACACACACAAAAACACACACACACCCCACACGGGTGCAAAAGTGTACAGAAAGTATTGAGTGAACTATACACCGGCCGTATGGGTAATCTTAATGTACGGTCTATGCAACAAGTTGATGCAAAGGCAGTTCCACGTGAAATATAATTTTCAGTGTTCTTTCACTTAGTGTTACTATGCCAGTGTCTACAAGGTTATGCACTCACTTCGCCTTGATGTGAACAATAATTGTGAATTAATAATATACCTCTGTAATATAGATAGCAAAGCTTCACCAAAGACAGAATATATCGACGTGTTTCATAAATCTTTGCGCGAGACTCACTTTTGGAGTGACAGTTCAACACTTATTATAATTTCTTGTATTGCAACTTCAGAATTTTTGTTTGAACAAATTAATACTAATGAGTTTTAGCCAGCCTGGCAGCCGATCTTATAGGCTCTTTTGTGCTCATAGGCTTAGGCAGCCAGTGAGCTGTGTTGTAGCTATCATGTTTTATACAGTGAAGGCAGCCCACCCTCCTAATCAGTCGATATTTCACTTTTGTTAAGAGAGTCGGATGGGTGTCTTACACAGGCCTTAAACAGTGATTAACTGACTGTGTATTGTAGAATTCATTCTCTGGCTTCCCATTTTCTGTTGGGTTTCATTTTTGTCAGTGTAATTTCATTTATTGCTATTGTGGTGATTTTTTTTTTTTATTAATGAACTAGTCTGATCTCGTGTAAATTGGTAAATTTGCTGGAAAGCAGTGAGAAATTGACTTTAATTCCATATAAATTTAAGCAAATTTCTTGATTTATGGTCTTATCAGATGTGATCCATTATAGCCTACCAGTGTCGGTAAATTAAATATCACATCTAGGCGATAAAACTTATAAACGAACGGAAAACAGATCCAAGGCAGTGCCGTCAACAGTCAGATAATCACAGTTTAAGTCTCGTGAATAGTCACTTGTCCCACTGTCCTAACCATGGCAAAATACTGACTTATGTGAGGGTAAAGGGCCGTATTGAACACCCAAAGACCAGGTATCGGGTCCTTGTTAATATCTTACCAGTAACTGTATTCCCGTGTTATACACTATATTACTAGGAATGAACCAGCGAAGTGTGTGAGAAATGCTGGGTGGTGTTTGCCATATTAATTTAACAGTGGAAATAATATTTATAATTATGCCTAGTCTAGCTTTCATACATTCATATGGTAAGATTACAGTCAGATCTATTTATACAAGAGTATTTAGATAATATTTTACAAATAAATAAGAAATTTTAATCTTGCTTTTCTTTACCTATTTTTTTTACATGTGATTCAGAGTGACGTCATGTGCGTTCTGGCCGCGTATTAATGTGATGATGACTCATTGCAACTACTCTGTAATGCTGTATTGAGCAACCCTTTTAAAACTGGTCTGTTTCGTTCACTGGATCGACAAGCAGCACTGCACAGACCACTACAGAACCTCTTGAGTCTTTCCAGTGTTTGGTCTGTGGGGGTAAAGCCGGGGTGGACTCAAGATTATCAGTACAGCTGATTTTAAGACACCAGTGAACCAACCAACTCTGCACCTGTCAAACTCCCGAGTGAGTTGACATAGAACATGTTTATAGCTAGTTGCTATGCCACAAGAAACATGCAAAGAGGTGTATGTGTATGCACTAAGAGTTTACTATTTTAGGGATTAAACTGGTGTAACAGTGAAATCACAGCCTCGGTGACTGCGTAGTCGATTTTCTTTAAATCCCATTAACTAACAACTTGCACCGAGAATGACGCACCCTACACCTTCCACAAGGGCGTGAGTGAAGACTTGTAGTTATATACTGCATCACTTGCTCTAAAGACCACGTTTGCAAGCATCTCGCCCCCCCCCCCCCCTGGGTTACGACAGACTGGGTCCTCCACTCTTGTCAGCAGTTATACCACTTGATTGTCAGCGCTGTATGATCCTAGTGGTTTTAGCGCTTCTTTTATTATAATTACTCTATGGAATACACTTCCGGGAGCTAATCACTGTACACTGGATTGGATGGGGTTCACCAGTACTGTCCCGACCCGGGTCTTGTCCAGTTGGTGACCTGGCGCACTGACCCGGGTCTTGTCCACTTGGTGACGCACCGCACTGCACAATGTCTTGACTTTAAACTACCGTATTTTCCGGCATATAAGGCGAGTCTTCCCTCTAACCCCCAGTCTTGGAAAATCAGCCCGCGCTTTGTAAGGTCAGGGTCAAGGGTAAGTTCTGGGTTACGCTTTAGCGTAAAGTACATAAGAAAGAAGGAACACTGCAGCAGGCTTACTAGCCCATGCGAGGCAGGTCCAAGTCTCCTATCGGCTTAAGCCAATGTCCCAACCTAGTCAGGTCAGGTCACATTCACTTAAGGAAGGAACACGGCAACTGACCTAGTAGCACAAGCCAATCGGGTCCAACTCACACCCACTCATATATTTATCTAACCTATTTTTAAAACTACACAAAGTTTTAGCCTCAATAACTGTACTTGGGAGTTTGTTCCACTCATCCACAACTCTATTACCAAACCAGTGCTTTCCTATATCCTTCCTGAATCTGAATTTTTCCAATTTAAAACCATTGCTGCGAATCCTGTCTATGCTAGATATTTTTAAGCACACTATTTACATTCCCCTTTATTAATTCCTGTTTTCCATTTATACACCTCACTCATATCCCCCCTAATTCTACGTCTTTCTAGAGAGTGCAGTTTCAGGGACCTCAGTCTATCCTCATAGGGAAGATTTCTGATAAATGGGATCAACTTTGTCATCCTCCTTTGTACATTTTCCAGAGAATTTATATCCATTCTGTAATACGGTGACCAAAACTGTGTAGCATAATCTAAATGAGGCCTAACCAAGGATATATAGAGCTGAAGAACAACCTGAGGACTTCTATTATTTATGCTTCTTGATATGAAGCCAAGGATTCTGTTAGTTTTATTGCGAACACTTATGCACTGTTGTCTTGGTTTCAGATTACTGCTAACCAGAACTCCTAAATCTTTTTCACAATCCGTAATATTAAGATCTACATTATTTAGTTTATATGTGGCATGGTTATTTTCCTGTCCAACATTTAGAACTTTGCATTTGTCTATATTAAACTGCATCTGCCACTTCTCCGACCACTGCATCAGTCTATTATGATAATTCTATCGTGCGCCTTATATGCCGGAAAATAAGATTGTTTTGAGAATGACTTGCCTTGTATGGGCCAGTAGGCCTTCTGCAGTGCTCCTCCATTATGTTCATTTATATTAATTTCTGAAGAAAAGATACTAGTCACTTACAAAAAATAACTTAATAACCCAGCCAGACTGGTCAGGTCACGTGACTCTTATCCCTCGGTTCCCTTCATGGTGGGTTCCTTGATGCCGGTGAAGGGCTCTTGATCCAGGGAATTGGATCAGTACTCCAGTTCCCCGAATTAAGCCTGAATACCTTCCATATCCCCCCAGGCGCTGTATAATCCTACGGGTTTAGCGTTTCCCCCTTGATTATAATAATATGGAGCGCTGAGGGACTGACCCCCTCTAAACTACGTCTTCAAGATGTGGAAAAAGACACTTATGTACAGTTCAGGACATTTATTAAAGGAAACGTTTCGCCACGAGTGGCTTCTTCAGTCCTAATATAGAGAAAACTAAGAAAACATGTATATATATGAACATTAAAATGGTATAAAATACCGACAGATTGTTAGGTAAGACACATATGCAACAGTTAGGTATCTTTATTTTGAAACGTTTCGCCTACACAGTAGGCTTCTTCAGTCGAGTACAGAAAAGTTGATAGAAGCAGAAGATACTTGAAGACGATGTAATCAGTCCATCACCCTTAAAGTTTTGAGGTGGTCAGTCCCTCAGTCTGGAGAAGAGCATTGTTCCGTTGTCTGAAACAATATTGTTTCAGACAACGGAACAATGCTCTTCTCCAGACTGAGGGACTGACCACCTCAAAACTTTAAGGGTGATGGACTGATTACATCGTCTTCAAGTATCTTCTGCTTCTATCAACTTTTCTGTACTCGACTGAAGAAGCCTACTGTGTAGGCGAAACGTTTCAAAATAAAGATACCTAACTGTTGCAT